TAAGAGGAAGTAGGTAAAAGTCGTCAGCATTGGTGTTCACATAAAAATTCCAATGCCTGGAGCTCAGAGCGGTGCAGTCAATAGCTATGTGGGTAATAACACCTAGTCATGCTATTGATATAGCGCGAGTCCCTTCCTCACATTAATTAATTTGATACAGTTTCCCAGAGACGCTTGCTCCACATTGATTTTCCATACCATAGTCTCATTCTCACATTATTCAGGGAAGGAGGCAGGCAGTAGGTGGTGTGGCATCATTGCCCCGTGCTGAAACTGGAAGAGACAGAGAGGAACGTGTTATCTCCAGGAGTGCGTTCCAGCTAGCGTATCTGTTTTAGTTTTGTTTTGAAACCCTGGGTCACGCGGACTTCATCCACGTGGGTTTTCTTGCTGAGCATGCGGGACTTTCGGTGCCCCTGAGTGTCTAAGGGGGCTGGGTTGTCGTGGCACTTGGCGTGGTGCTCCTCTGGCTTTCCTGGCTTGGAGAGAAGGGCCGCGTACGGTCTTCATGTCGAAATGCACATCTGAGAAAAGCCCAGAGTGAGTGGGCCCCGTCGGCCTGTGTTTTGATATTAATTTATTTACTTGTGGTCAGATTCAAAGAATCAACTTATTGGGCAAAACGTCCGGAATTCAGAGGCACTGAAGAGACGGTGAGCATGTGCAATTGGCCATTGCAGTAGCAGTGGGCAAAGGCCTTCTCTGCTGTCCCTGGTGTCTCCTGCTCATTAACAGGGATGCTTCCCCCAGAGCAACTGTCAGCTGCCACATCTCCAGGGGAGCCTTCACCTGTTTCTTTGCTCCACAAATTCCTCCAAACACCTACTGTGTGCCGGGCTCTGGGGATTCAGAGGTAGGCGTCCACACCAGTCCCCGTCCTCAGATTGCTTCCAGTCAAGAGGGGGGGACAGATGACACAGGATGCAGGAGAGCGCCATGACAATGACCCACACAAAGTACCATCCCATAGGGCTTTTATAACCACGTGTCCCAAAGCCAATATCTAGTGTCATGATCACTGGAAAACGTCAATATTTCATTTCTATGTATATGTTGCTATAACGTAGAAGAGTGAGATGGCTTCCAGACTGCCTAAGTCAGTATACACTTTTTGCTTTTTATATGAATTTCAGTGCCATGGCACTCATTAGTGTAGCTTATCAGGAAGTGTCCATGACCAAAAGGATGAGTAAGGACATAGCATATCTTCAAGTGATAGATGCTTGCGTTAGTTGGTTCCTAATACAAATCTAGCTTAGCTGCAAGAATTAGTTCCAGTCCGTTTTTTAGTTCAGCATTTTAATGACGTTTAGCCTTCCTTCAGCCTCTTGACTTTATCGGTAACTGTTGCTTCTCAGCAATTCCAAAGAGGTTACATTTTTTGAATGATCAAAAAAATAAGACCTCCCTGCTAGTGGTCCTTCCTCTTCCATACAGCAGATATGTTATAATTCTGTGTAACTGGAGAGACCAACCGTGGAGTCCTTAAGCAGTCCAAATTCCCCAAAAGCCTACAGACCCTTTATCTCTCCAGCTCTTTAAAATGAGATGCCTGAAGCCGGGTTCGGTGGGTCAGCCTGTAATCCCGCGCCTTGGGAGGCTGAGGTGAGTGGATTGCCTGAGCCCGCGGGTTCGAGACCCGCCTGGGCAACTTGGTGAGACCTCATCTCTACAATAAATCAAAAAATCAGCCGGGCGTGATAGCGCACGCCTGTAGTTCCAGCTACTTGGAAGGCTGAGGCGGAAGGATCGCCGGAGCCCAGCAGGTCGAGGCTGCGGTGGCCGGGAGCGGCCACTGCACTCCAATCTGGGTGACAGAGTGAGACTCCAACTCAAAAAACCCAAAACAAACAAATAAAAAATAAAATAAGACACATGTGTGAAACCAAGTCAGGTAGATCAGGGGATGGCAGATTACCTACTCAAAAAATAGACGTGGCCGGATTTTGCAATCCCAGAGCAAGGTTTTGCATATCCATTTTGAATAACCCCAGTGAAGTTAAGTGATTTGAAATGGATTGCGGTGGGGGAGCTGGTAAGACGCACAGCAATTTAGGTCGAGGAATTGGGCAACACCTCGTCCATCCCACACTCCAATCCCTTCCACTGTGGAAGCGCCGGCACCATGAGCCAGCGTGGCCGCGTCTCTTTCTATGTACGAGAGCTGGAAAATCAATCGGATTTCCACTGGCATGATTCTCTGGTGTACTTAATATGCTGTAGATGGGTTTCTGAGAATCGTAAGGAGCAGGGACACTTCTCATGAATATAGAGCGCATAAAGCACTCCAATTTATTATTCCGTTCTATTTTAGGACTTGCTTGTGATTTTTTTTTTTAGGCAAAATAGGAAGAAAATTCTTAAGAACACAGACCAGTAAATCTGAGTTTTAATTCTCTCGTTAGTTGACTTTGGGGAAGTGAGCCTTTTAACTGCTTCGTGCCTTGGTTCAATTTGCTAAAACTTCCCATCTCCAATGTACCCTCAACATCTAGCTATGTACAGTGCATTTGAGGTTTTTCAATATCTGTGCTCAAAATTGAATAATCCCTCACCTCAGATATCAGTTCCTTTTTATTTATGAAAAAGTTTCCTTCTTACTAATGATTTTGAAGAATTTATATGGAACTCCAAGAAGGAGAGAAAGACGATGAAATACTTTCCAGAAAAAAAAATAGCATTAACTCGCAGCACCAGTTCTAAAGCACATGATAATTCTAACTGGACTCCAGACCCACTCCTCAGAGATGTTTAATGGACTGATTCAAGAAGCGGTGTGTATGCAGAGCACAGAGTTTGTGTAACTCCTAGTTCATCATGATCCCACTGGGATTAGGGAACCTTGGACTTGCTTCTTTTTTTTTTTTTCCCTTGCTAATGGAGTTAATATTTAGTTAGCTCATTCTGTAGCATACGCTCTCTGGTAGTATTGATTTTTTTTCTGTTTTGTTCTGTGACCTCACTGAAGGGCCGGACGTCACAGGGGAAGGAGTGTAATATAGAATTTAACACCAAGAAATTAGCAGAAGTCTGTGTCCCACCGATAAAGGAGAAAATTATTTAACTTTGCTTTCTACGGAATTGATTTTTTAATGCCTTAATGTAAAGAGTTTTTTAAAACCTTCCTAAACCGTATGTTGTGCTAAATTGTGGTTATTCTAAAATGTACCAGTCGTACTATCTGTAGATCACCTTTGACCCCATCTAAATTGTGCCTCTAAGACAGAGTGTCAGAGAAAGCGAGAATTAAAACTCTGGAAAATCTCAACTAAAACTAGATTATAAGACTGAGATCGACCGGGTTTGGTGGCTCACGCCTGTAATCCCAGCACTTTGGGAGACTGAGTCAGGCGTAGTACTTGAGCCTAGAAGTTCAAGACTAGCCTGGGCAGCATAGCAAGATCTGATCTCTCTATGCATATGATTTACTTTTTACTTGAGTCAGGATCTCACTGTGTTGCCCAGGCTGGAGGGTAATGACACAGTTATGGCTCACTGCAGTCTTGACCTCCTGAGCTCAAGCAATCCTCCCGCCTCTGCCTCCTGAGTGGCTGGGACTACAGGCATGCACCACCATGCCTGGCTAATTTTTTTCTTTATTTTATTGTGGAGACAAGGTCTCATTATATTCTCTAGGCTGGTCTCAAACTCCTGGGCTCAAACCATCTTCCCACCTGGGTCTCCCAAAGTGCTGGTATTACAGATGTGAGCCACCGCACATGGCCACTCTCCCTATTTTTAAAAGACTAAGATCAATGAGTGCTGCAATTCAGAGTCGATTTGGGAGTCAAACACGCACACAGGAAGCTTCTGTTCAGCAGAGGCCAGGCCCTGGCTGAGGCTGTTGGAAGTAGTAGGGCGGAACCTCCCACCCTGGAGGGTGAGGGTTAGGGTTGGAGCAGCACCCAGAGACCATTGGCAGAACATGTCTTCTCCTCCAGGTGTGCTCTCGTGCGCCAGAACACACACACTTGAGTCAGCTCCCACTCGCTGTGGAAACATCTGGATGCTGGGCTGAAATGCCCCTTCTTCATCCAGGTGTCAGAGTGCATGTTCATCTCATGGACAGACACAGCCCCAAGCGTATTTACCAAACTCACCTCTGACTGTGCAGTTAAATAACGCTGTTTCTATAAAAGGAAACATTGTCTCCAAATGTTTTCCATCAAGTATTGTCAGCCACAGGACTGAGAGAAAGCCAAGGCCCTTTGGTGACAAGCTGCTTGCTCAGCTGAGGTTGCTGGCTGGGGGGGGGGGGGGGGTTGCTTCCCGGAGTGCTGACTGCTGCAGGCTCCAGGGAGGATTTAAAAGGGGACAGAGGCCTGGTGCGGTGGCTCAGCCTGTTATCCCAGCACTTTGGGAAGAGGCCGAGGTGAGAGAATTGCCTGAGCCTGGGGTTTCGAGACCAGCCTGGGCAACTTGGTGAGATCTCGACTCTACAATAAATTACAAAAACTAGCAGGGCATGGTGGTGTGCATCTGTAGTTCCAGCTACTTGGAAGTCTGAGGCAGAAGGATCACCTAAGCCCAGCAGGTTGAGGCTGCAGTGGCCATGAGCGTACCACTGTACTCCAGCCTGAGCGACAAGAGTGAGACTCCAACTAAAAAAAAAAAAAAAAAGGGACAATGAGACCAGGAGTGGGAGCAGGGAGGGAATGTGTCTCCAGACAAGGATGGGCAAGTGCCATGCATTTTACCGGTTGTTTTTGTTTTTGAGTCAGAGTCTCACTCTGTCACCCAGGCTGGAGGCAGTGGCATGATCACAGCTCACTGCAGCCTGGACCTCCTGGGCTCCGGCAGTCCTCCCACCTCAGTCTCCCAAGTAGCTGGGATTACAGGCATGCACTACCATAGCCAGCTATGGCTTTTCGGTGTTTTGTTTTGTTTTGTTTTGTGGAGATGAGATCGCCATGCTATCCAGGCTGGTCTCGACTTCCTGGGCTCAGGCAGTTCTCTCGCCTTGGCCTCTCAAAGTGCTGGGATGACAGGC